TATTGTCACGAACCTCAAGCTCGTAACAATTGGTGTCAGAAGTGGGATAAAATCATGCCGATTTTACCTAAGGAGGAAACGGAGGGTGTCCGTACCCGAAGTCAACGCCAGCAGGAGACGGACCAGAGGAGATTTGGTGGTGCAACGCCGCAGACGTCGGAGGGCCAACGGCCAGCCACGGAGGTTGCGGGCCCGGCAGTAGCTCCTACACCTGCAGCACCTGACTTAGGTGCTCTGATGGCGATGCTACAGGAGCAGCTGCAGCGCGGACGAGAGGAACAGGCCCGTCTGTTGAAAGAGCAGCAGGAAGAACAGGCTCGCCGACAGGAGGAACAGGTCCGTCAGTTGAAAGAGCAGCTGCAGAGCGGACAGGAGGAACAGGCCCGCCGATTGGAAGAGCAGCTGAGGGCGGACAGGAGGAACAGGCCCGCCGGCAGGAGGAACAGGTCCGCCGACAGGAGGAACAGGCCCGTCGTTTAGAAGATCAACTTCAACGCGATAAGGAAGAGCAGATGCTCCTCATGAAGGACCTGCACGCTATCTTCGGAAAAGAGATACGGGAGGTGAAGGATAAGGTTGCTCAACATGACAACCGCCTGTCGGAGGCCGAAACCCGAATCGACCAAGTAAACAATCGGGTTGACAACGTAATGGCTGACGTGAAGAAAACGCTGGACGACCTCAAACTTGGGGATGGAACAACAGCTCCCGTAGTAGCTACAACACCTTCGCTACGTGGATTCAAAGTGCCGCCGTTCGACGGGACCTCTTCCTGGTCGTCCTACAAAATCCAGTTCGAGGCCGTCATGGAGGCAAACGGCTGGAATAAAAGCCAGGCCATGACTGCACTCACCTTAGGCCTGCGCGACCAAGCCTTAACTGTGTTGGAAGCTCTCGGTAAGAAAGTGACCTACGAGCAGCTCCTTGAGGCATTGGAGGCGAGATATGGCGACGCTCACCTGGAACACGTGTTTCGTGCGCAACTTAAAGATCGTGTGCAGCGCATCAACGAAAACCTGCAGCAGTGGGCTCTAGAGGTGGAGAAGCTGGTGCGAAAAGCTTACCGGTCTGTACCTGCGCTCATTAAAGGGAACCTGGTGCAGACATTTATCGACGGCATCCGTGACCTGGAAGTCAGAGCTGCTGTGAGGCTCGGGCACCACGAGACGCTTAAGGACGCCTTGGCCCATGCACTGGAGGTAGAAGCCGTGCGGCAGGATCATCGTTCCCATCGCGTCAGGGAGGTTGCAGCCGCTACAGTTCGCGACCGCAACAAAGGATACAGCCCTAGGTGCTATGGCTGTGGGGAAAAAGGCCATCTTCGAATCAGCTGCCCTAAGCGAACCGTTGAAAGGAGAGTTGATCGATCTCGAGAGGGTAGTGCAGCTAACGACACTGCCTGGCGGCGACAGGATCGTCGTTCACCTCACGCTAGGGAGGTTACAGCAGTTACGGTTCGCGACCACAATAAAAGATATAGCCCTAGGTGCTATGGCTGTGGGGAAAGGGGCCATCTTCGGTCCAGCTACCCTGAGCACACCCTACGAAGGGAAGGTGAACGGTCTCAGAAAGGAAGTGCGGCTAACAGCACCGCCCAGCAGCAGCAGGAATACGACTTTACTATCAGACACTGCAGCGGGAAATCTCACGGCAACGCAGATGCATTGTCAAGAAGACCTTGTCCTGAAGATTGCAACCATTGTAGTAGGCAAGAGAGTAAGGAGGTGGTATCCGTGAGGATGCTCAGGACAGACCACCTCAGCAACGGGTGGAAGGACAACCTACGACATGCACAGCAGGAAGATCCGGACATCAAGCCGATTCTGGGATGGATGAAGGCCCGTGCTACCAAGCCTAAGTGGAGGGACGTCTCAGCGATGAGTTCAACCACGAAAAGCTATTGGGCCCAATGGGACAGCTTGCTGATTCAGGATGGAGTCCTGTGCCGTAAATGGGACAATGGTCGAAGAGACAGCTGTCGTTTGCAAATGGTTGTCCCTAAAGCTAAAGTGCCGAATGTTCTACAGTTGTGCCATAATGGTCGTTCAATAGTCCATCTGGGAGTTAAACGAACTCTACTGAAGGTCCGAGAACAGTTTTACTGGGTCCATTATCGTGACGATGTCGAGGATTGGTGTCGTACATGTACAAGACACGTAGTAGAGGAGCACCGAAATTGTACAATGTTGGTGCACCACGGGATAGGACAGCCCTTGACATTGCGGAGCCGTTACAGAAAGGCGCAAGAGGGACTCCTAAGATCGTCCATGTGAATCGCTTGGCGCGTTATTATGGGGCCGATAATGCTCGGGACGAGCATGTCTTAGGAGGGGGCAGTGTTACGCGCTCCAGTCAACGATACACTAGCGCCATCTAGTGTCAGGAACGAGAGCGAGGGAAGCATTGAGAAAATGACATCACAAATTACTCAACCGACAGCGCCTAGTCGAAACTCGAACGCTCGGTACCTTGCCCGTGTTTACTTGAACATTCTGGATATTTCTTTGCTAATTTAAATATATAGGCGCTGCAAGATGCGATCGAGTGTGTGTGTTGATTTGGGCGAAACAAGCGAAGCTTCGGAGTGGAATTAAGTGAATTAGTGTGTTTAAATTATTAGTGTTTTAACTTTAATTGTGCAAAGTAAATTAAAGTGTTAATTTAGGTAATTTTATCGGCAATTTTTATTGTCACGAACCTCAAGCTCGTAACAGTAAGTTTAGTTACTGGACGATTTTTAATATGAATAATTATTAATTATCCTTATATAATTTATTTATCATTTAATATGAAAATGATATTTATGATAGATTAATAGGTTTATTTATAGATTATTTAATTAGGATCTAAATTTAACATTGATGGAGGACGCTACGGATTTTTTTTTCCTTTACCTAATTCGAATTATTTAACTCCAGATGTTTCGGTTGTTTTGCAGTGTCTATGGTCACGGTGGAGTACTTGGTCAGAGTGTTTGACGTACCAATACCATAGTTAATCCGGAGTACCCTCAAATAATTAAGGAGAAGCTCTCTCCTCGTTGTTCCAGCTGGAACAACGAGGAGAGTACCTTGCTTAATTATTTGAGGGTACTCCGGATTAACTATGCTAGCTAGCATCGGAATCCTCGGCGTCGACATGTCGAATGACGTTCAGTTCTGCAGTCACTTAGAAGGAAAGGAAGAATTGGCCTCTAAAAAGCTTAGTGTGCTTTGAAGAGCGGGACAGTAGTTCAAGCTGGCACACCGCTTGCGAAGCAGATTGCGATTAGCCGTGGTAGTTCAGGGACTAAGCGCTCGCTGTAAATTTCACAGTACGCGATCAACCCGGGTTCGATCCTCGCCTGCATATTTTAAGTGCTTATTTACCACGTGCTCGGCGGTGAAGGAAAACATTGTGAGAAAACCTGCATGTCTTTAAATTAAGAAAAAAAATATTTCGAAGACATGTGAAGTTTGCCAACATGCATTGGGCCAGAGCGGCATACATTTCCTTGCCATAAATCCCTCTCAGAAATGCAGTGAGACGTATATAGGCTGCAACTTTAATTTTCAAAAATGCTTGCAACTGTACAGGACTAACTTTAACTACCTCACATGGAATACTGTTCTCATCTCTGGGCTAGGGCACCGCACACTGCCGACTCCTTTCACTTGATCGCACCCACCGCAGAGCGGTTCGAATCTTTGGCGACCACGCTCTTTCTTATCGGCGTCACTGACTGGTGCTGCAAAGAGATGTTGCATCTCTTGCTATTTTATCGCATCTTGTAAGGAAGTGCTCTAAGGAATGGTTCGAACTAATTCGAACCGCTTAATTTCACCTTTGCATATCGCGACAATACTCGCGACACCATCCATTCCATCTGGATGATTAGCGGTCCATCGCTATATGATTTAGAAGAAGTTTTCTTACTCGCACAACTTCCTTGTGCAATCGACTACAACCAGCGATTTTTCTTGACCAATACGACTTAGGGACCTTTAAGATAAGGCCTACTCTTTTTTTAAATGCCGTAAACGCATCTGCGATTCCCCTGGTGTTACAGTTGTTCGTGGGCGGCGGTTACCACTTACCATCAGGTGAGGTTTACATCTTCTCATATAAAAACTAATCTGATTGTAAGTAAATGCTGTCACCTTAAAACACCTACAGTAACCTCGTGTAGCATCAAAATGCAGATTCTGGCACTCTGATGTCTAAAATAGAACGCCTCGTTACCAGTAAAAATGATTTCTGATTCTCGAAACTGCATTATGCAATTAATCATAATACAGCAGTATGCTGCTTTTTATTTTGAGAAGTCTATGGTGTAGTGGAAACTCAAAAGGATCCCACCGAATCATGTCATCCTGTCGATTTCGTAAGCAAAAAAAGCCCGCCTGCATAAAAGGAAATATAATATGAAGTAGGCATATGATAGGTTGCGATGAATTCTGAGAGAGATGTTAATATAATTTGAAATTTTAGCAAATATTTTAAAAGAAAACTATGACTGCATATTCTAAACTATTCTAAAGATAAATAGGCCTTAGCAATTTATTAAAATGATATAAAAACAACGTCACTATTTATGTTAAAATTAAGTTATTTGAAAATTTAAAATATAGATATACATGTTACAATTAGCTTTCTTATTTATTTTATGATGATAGTACTTTAATCGATCATTGTGGAAGAGTAGATAAAGCTATATTATAGAGCACGCTCTAACAGAATACCAGCGTAAATTGGAAGCTTAGTGCTGCTGTGTTGCGTATGGTGGATGTAGAGAGCCGGAGATAGTTTTCAGCGGTAATATTCTATGCTACTATGTAGGTGTCTATTGACCACATAATCTATTTCCTATCAGGTGAACTATGTGCTCGTTTGTCACCCTAATGCTATAAAACAAACAAGACAAATTTATTATTCTTTAAAAAATTGGAAAATAATATTTAGATCGGTAAAACAACGCGGAATTTTACTAAACTTATGAATAATTTATGAATTTTTCACAGCGGACGAAAATGGTTCGATATCGGAAACTATACCCGACCGGCCGGTTGAATTGAAGAACTTTCCGAAGCTTTGCGAACAAAGAAGAAAATTTCCTGTTTTATACAAACTTGAATTCCAGGTATATTGTTATTTTAGGCTCCAACCTATCACTGTGTTTATTATTTTGAATTGTATATGAATGTTTTCAATTAAATTTGTTTTTTTCTATTAGCTTATTTTCGCAGTATAGAAAACTTACCTCATATCATTCTGTGGTTTTCTTAAGAAGCAACAGAGGCAAACTAACATCTTCCTGATAGCAACTTCAAAAAACCCTGCGAGGAAATCCATGGTGGCCTATGTTCAACAGTGGGCTTTGGTAGGCAGTAATGACGATAAGGATGATAATTTTGTATTATCCCTGGTGGAGAATCGTGTAGTGGCGGTGTAAGAATACCCACTACCCCATATCGTCTGGTTGGTGTCGTAAAAGGCGATAGAGGGAAACTTAAAAACAACTCAATAAAATAAAAAACTGCCGTTGTCAACTCGCCTGCTAAGCGTGGCAACTGTGGTGAAATTCCCCCCTAAGAGGCAATCTATGTGGCAGGCCTATGTTCAGCAGTGGACTAGTAAAGGCTAAACTAGTAATTACTCATATTGGCACAAATGCAGTAAATTTGGAGATTACTGCAATTTTTGTATTAACGTAGATATTTGTCTCATCCAAGTATCCAACTGGCGCCTCGTAGCATGTCAGTCATATGTGTATATTATGTAATATTTACATAATATGAAGATGAAATAAAAATCCAATTTTTTTTTAAATTTCAGACTGCAATAAAGGTAGAAACACATTCTTGCCGTCACGCAACAAAGAAAACAAATTTACATAAAAATCAAAACCAGAAGGTTATACCATGTAAGTTCACTAATATGAATATATAACATAAGTATATTTTAAGTAAAATAAAGAAGAACATAAAGTATTAGACCCATAAATTCCTTTGAATAATGTTATTAAGCAAAACTGTCACTACAGATGTTAAAATGACATACAGGTGTTAAAATAATAGTGTTTAACATTGATAACACGACAGCGCAATCCTTATTAATATACAAAATTTGACCTGCTCAAAGTTCAGAAACTTTATTTAACTAAGTTTGTATAAAAAGGGTTTTATCATCCATAAATATTAAGCAATTTATTATGGGTGATAATAATGAGAATAAGGTGATCGCTACCAAGCTATTTCTAAGTTGTTATTATATATATATATATATATATATATATATATATATATATATATATATATATATATATTATATATATATATATGTTATTATATGTAAGTTGTTATTTCTATGTTGTTATTTGTGAAAAATGATTGTAAGCTTTTAATTTTTTTAAACTCCCGCTTGGTTTCTTACTGGTTCTTCCCAAGACAGAGGATTTTTTTCCGAACCAGTGGTAAATTAAAAAAAGAGTGCCTTGCAATAAGTATTATTTATAATTTACTAGGTGTTTTCCGGCGCTTTTCAGCTGCGAAAGAAATAATTGTGATAATATCACAGTTTTAAATTTGGAGAGGTTACGAGGGCGGCACTGAAAATTTCGGGAATCAAGGAAATGACACAACATTACTATTTAAAAATGTATTTATTGCTTTTAGAAATTTGACACATTTTTCCATACGATGGAACCAATCATTAAAGCAACCATTCCATTCGGAAGTTGGGGTCTCCAAAATGGCCGTTTTGTAGGCGTCCACAGCTTCTTCAGGTGATGAAAATCTCTGTCCACGCAATTTATTCTTTATTTTAGGGCAAGTATAGAAATGACTAGGGCTTAGATCGGGGCTGTAAGGCGGATGGTCTAATAATTCTATGTTTTCTTGCTCTAAAAACTCTTTTGTTCTGTGTGCGGTGTGAGAACTCGCATTGTCGTGATGGAGGGTGATGCGGCGGTTGCAGTTCTCTTTACGGAGTTCAGAAACGACCTGTGGCAAACAAATGCTAGCATACCATTCTGCATTAACCGTTCTTTGTCCCTTAAGAGGAATAGTCGTAACATGGCCGGTTTTGGAGACAAACGTGGACACCATTTTTTTTGCAACACTCTGTGAACGAAAAATTTTTGTTGGCTTTAACTCATTTTCGAACACCCAAACTCGTGACTGGTTTTTTGTTTCGGGTTCGTACGCGTATATCCAGGATTCGTCACCTGATACGATGTTGTATACAGCATTTGAGGATCCGGCGTGGAATGTTTCGAGAGTTCTGAAGCACCAAGTAACGCGAGCCGCTTTTTCTCTTCACAGAGCGAATGCGGTATGCATCGGGAAAACAACTTTTTTACACCTAATTGTTCATGCAAGATTATTTGTATTTGACTCATGCCAATGTCTAAAGTTGCTTAAATTTCGCGGTATGTCACATGTCGATCTTCCTCAATCAGCTTACGCACAGCATCAACGTTTTCTTGGGTGACTGCAGTTTTTGGACGACCTTGACGGGGATCATCAGTGAGCTTAACACGTCCACGTTGAAATTCAGCAAACCAGCGATAAATTGTGGTTTTGGATGGGGCTTCATCACCAAATGCAGAAATCATCCGGTCAACACACTGTTTTTGTGTTAAACCACTTCGAAAGTCATAATAAATCATCGCTCTTGAATTTTCTCGAGTCAATTCCATTTTCTCAACGACTAATTGTGTTGTGATAAGACCGAGAATCTTTTTTAAATAAATAAATAGTATTCGATTTTTAAAACCAAGGAGTTTTCAATTAAAAAGATTTTAATATGACAGGAACAGTGGAAATATTCCATTCCCGATACTTTTAGTGCAACCTAGGTATAATATTGTTAAATTGGGAATGATAATACATTCATGGAACTTCAATGACATATAATTTTCAAATAAATTTGTTGTTACAATACGCGCGCCACCTAGTATAAATTATTTGTACTATGCCTCTAACATTACCCCAAGTGCGAGCAATAAGTTGACAATGTTTTACCGCAATCAGATGAACAGTAGGTATGGTAGCGCATAAAATTACACTAGTAATATATAAGTCAATGCATGAAATACCAACAAAGAAAAAGTATTGAATACAAAATGTTCGTTTGTGTTTCTTTTTCTATTCGTACCTAAATATTATGACTGACAGTTGAAATTATAACCAAGTAATCGGCTATTACAAATGTGATTTGGTTTGATTGCATTATAGCGCGGACATAGCACCCTGTCTTAACGGCACAGGTGCACTCTCTATTCCCATGTTCTCATAGTTCGGGACGGCAATTCGACACGATCGTAGACTTAGAGTTGGGAATTTCTTGTCCGAATAACCTGATAACTTACATTGTCCCGACCTGGGATGCGTAACCGTAACCATATAATTAGCTTTCGAGCACACGGCCACTAATATACTAGGTAGCCGTTGCTTTGTAGGCAAAAGCCAGTTCTTTTGTTAAAATCCACCCGGGGTTAAGTTTACTATTTACAATATATTATTTATCAAAAATTAAAATTGAAATTTTATTCCAATATAACAATCAAATTAATTCAATACAATATTGTAGCATTTTCATATGTTCACAGACGACTACAATAGAGTGGTGCTGGAAACAGTAGACCGTGAACCAGATTCTGATTATATCAACGCTTCGTACATAGACGTGAGTAAAGTTTGTAAAACAATGCTACTTTCTATTAGTACATTATATTCTTTATATTTATATTCCTTGACATACAACCGTGTAGTGGCACTGAAAGAATATCCACTGCCAAATATCATCCCGTGGGTGTCATAGTACAACAGACAGCTCAGCGTCTTTCTAATATCAAGCGAATACACAACACTAACAAACTACGGATTCCCGCTTGCTGCAAATCCCTCTCCCCCCCCCCCCCATCAGGTGTTTATCAGTGGGCTTTTGATTAGCTGTGATGGCATCGTAATGTTTTATAATCTCATTGAGGGGGTTTTAATTCAAACAAATAAATAAAGAATATTACGAAACGTTCGATTATTTTGTACTCATTATATATATATATATATATATATATATATATATATATATATATATATATATATATATATATATCATTAATTTATTACTTTTTATCAATTGTAAATTTTTCATTAGATAGCGTCACACCTGTAATCTCTGGAGAATATTTAAATTTACTTAGGGAACCGGCATAGTGCCACGTTTATCATGGAAAATATGGGTATAAATGGAAAATTGTAAAATCAGTCTCAGTTAGACCATCTGCTCAATTAACACGGTGGGCACATTCGTTTTCTTATAAGTCCCAGACCAACATGGGACGATAAATCATTACTTATATGGTAATTGCTTCACTTGATACAGCGCGAGCAATCTGTCCAAGTCGAGCAAAAAGCGGCACGGCCGTACCATACTTTTCTCGAAGCAATTCGGGCCATTTTCGATCCCCTATAACTTAATTGTGTATAGAACTAGAAAACTGAATTTTCATATACTTTATTCGCAGAGTACATTAAAGCCAAACGCTTACATAGTAACACAGGGGCCAACTGAGGAGACTGTAGTGGATTTCTGGCGCATGATTTGGCAGGAGAGGGCTGCTGCAATAGTGATGCTAACCAAAACTTTTGATTTCATAAAGGTAAATCTAAAACTTTGCTTGCAACCAAACTACATATTTACGTAACAATTAACTGGTTGAAGATAAGGATATTTATATAGAAAAGACTATATTTTTTTATTTGTTTTAAATAGGTTATGTGTGTTCAATACTGGCCGCCTAGTAAAGAAAAAGATGAGAAGTATGGTGACATCAGTGTTGGCATCGTACAAGAAGAAGAGTTGGCGAACTTCCACATCCGTACATTTAGGCTCTATAAGAGCGAAAAAGATGTAAATATTATATTTATTTTAAACCTGTTACAAATTTATAACTCAAAATTATTTATCTCCATATTTATATTAAATACTTAGGATATATATTATATACAAAGGATTATTAGCCGATATTATTTCAAGACATTTTCGTCTAATGGCGGCGTAAAAAATCCATTACCCGCTTTTAAGAAATCTATGGAAAAAGCTAGAAAATCTTTTGGTTCCCAACAATGTCAATATAACTACTGTAATGAGGAAGCTGCATTAAACGTGCAAGATGTCTGGCATGGCTTTATTTGGCGTCCGTAAGACATTCAATTTAAATCCTTGGAAGTGACTAAGTTTGTACGTAGGTCGGCTCGACCGGGGAATTACCACGCTCTCACAAAATGCCAGATTAAAACAGTAGCATAATTCTGCTGGGGCTCATGAGAGTATGAGTGTAGAGAGTCGGAGACCTATTATTTATATTATTATTACTTGTAGTGAGGTATTCCTCCATACACTTGATTTTGAATGATTTGATGATTTTGAATTTTGATTATTTGTCAAGGAAAGGTGTACTGAGTGACTGTAGATGTCTAGTTGTGTATACAATACCCACTTAACATTAAGTAGACTGTTTCCTCCTTTGTCACTCTTACTTTTATAAAAAATGCAAACCTAGCGTCACCCCGGTGAATTTCATGTCTCCAGTGGTTGAGGCTGCGCGATGTCTGTCAGTCAGTCAGTTCGTGGAGAAAATATACAATTCAATTGAATTATTACTAGAATTTGTGTAAATTCAAACAAATAAAATCAGTACGATCATGAATTTATTGAAATTAAAGAGATCACGAACTTAAATCAATTGTATGTTTGCAGCACACCAAATTGATGAATTTTACGGGTTTCTACACACCAAAGATACATATGAACTGTGTAGTCCTATATGGTCCCGTAGTTGTCGTAAGAAGCGACAAAGGGAAACAAATCAAGAGAAGGCAACTATTCCAAATCCTTATCCCAAATATAAGGCAACCTATAGGGAGGCCTATGTTCAACAGTGGACTTTAATAGGCTGTAACGGAGAGAAAAGATATGATCGCCACCGTTATACACACTGAACGATCGCTTTTAATTCAATTCTTTTTCAATAAATATCAATAATTAATGCGGAATTTGTAATTGTTATGAAATCAAACTGATTCTGACTTTTTGTTAAGATTTTGTTACAAAAATACCATACAAATTTGCAACGTTTCACGATGGTTTTAAAAAAAATACTTTCATGCAAACCTTGTTCTAAAAATTACAAACGTAACAAAGAAATCAACCAAATCGGTCCAGACGTTCTCAAGTTATGATATTTCATACATGTGGCAATGCGAAATATACAGGATGTTAGTGTAAAGACCGGTATCCATGAATTTACGGACGGTGTCGGACAGAAACTTTTAAAATTTTATGAAAGAAAATTTCAAGGATAACGGTGTTTACACTAACATCATGTATATGTAGTAGATAAACGCATCTGTAGCCTCTTCATTTGAAGTCGATTTAACGATTAAGGACTGCAAAAAACTGCCTTTTTTTTCAATAGGATTTTGGATTTGCTTATCATACTAATATTATGTTTTAAATAAACATAAAATATCCTCCCCCTTTTGGACATAGTCCTCCCATAAATTTAGAGAATAAAATAACGTAACCTACATTAGGTGGCATAGCAAACACGATTCGCTTAAATTATTTTGCTAATCTGAATACTCTACTTTGAATATTTAATTTACTAACAAAAACATTAGATTAAATTTACAAAGCATTAAAATTCAAAGTTGATTTATTTTGCAATTAGAAATAATACATTTGTTTTTATTTAGGTTATTGTAGAAGAGCGCTACATTCTGCAGTTTCATTATACTCAATGGCACTCTCATACATGCCCCTTCAGCAACGCGTTACTTGAGTTTAGACGGCGGGTAAGGGCTGTCGTCGGAAGAAGGTTGGCAACAAACACAGCTGCGGGTCCAATGGTAGTTCACTGCAAGTAAGTCATAAGACTATTTATATACATTACATACATTTGTAATAGTAATATTAAAGGTGTCCATTACTCGTTTATTATTATAGTGATGGAGGAGGACGCTCAGGTGTGTACTTAGCTATCGATGCAAATCTAGAACTAGCCGAAGAAGAAGACTGCTTTGATGTATTTGGATATTTGAAGAAATTGCGTCAATCTCGTAAAGGACTTATAGAAAATGAGGTGAATTTTTAAACAAAAATGTTTCATTACTTTTAATTTTTACGTAACTTTGAAATTATACGGAACATTAAAAAAACTATAATAAGAAAAAGAAACTAACAATTATCATACGTACAGTCCTACTCACCGTGGTATCGTGCTAAGCATGCAAGCAAATTGTATAAAGTTCATTTTTATGGTACAAAAGCATTATCTGATATCTGTTACATATTTGAGGTTTGCTAACGGATCTGTTTTTCGTGTAATAGTAGTTTTATGGCAACTGTTTCAACTTATGAAGAAATTCCGAACATACGTACATTTCTTCGAGAATCCTTCTTATTTCCTTCTTATACTACTTAGGTGTAAATAAATTATATAAATGATTTATAACCATTTTTTTCTTTTGTCTAGGAGCAATACAAATTCGTATATGATACGTTAGAGGAACACGTCGTTTGTGGTATATCATGGTTCCCAGTGTCTGAACTTTCCCAAAGATTGAAACAGAAATCTCAAAGAGATCCAGTCACTAAACTTAATGAATATCAAAAGGAATATCAACAAATCTGTAAACAGACTCCAAGATTCACCATTGGTGACTGTGCTGGTGGTCATAGGGGAGATAATAGAGAAAAAAACCGCGACGTATTAGTAGTTCCACGTAAGTGTCAATAAACGCATAGAAAATATATATTTTTTAATTTTAAATTTACTAAGTTAAAAATAAATTTAATTTAATTTTACAGCCGATAATTTTCGTCCATACTTGACGTCCTTCCAAGGAAATAGTTTTACTGACTATATCAATGCTGTATTTGTCGATGTAAGTTGAAATCTATGTAAATATTAGCTGCAAACAAATATATTTACGATATTCGCAACTTATTTACGTTACCAACTTTCAGGGTTATACCAAGCCCCGGGAGTACATAGTTACAGAATGGCCTTTAATAAGAACTCAAGGAGAATTTTGGTCCTTGGTTTATGATTATGAATGTGCTGCAGTAGTCGTGTTATGCGTTCCTCCTAAAAACTCTGTAAGTTTATCCACAAATTTAGCTGTCCATAAATAATTATTACAAGTTTTACTAAAGAACGTTTTCCTTATATTTCAGCAACAATATCCTCCATTTTGGCCAGAAGGTCGACATTCTAAGAAATACGGTCCAGTGTTCACAATAGATCATGTTTCTCACAACCATTATACGAATATCAAAACATGGATATTTAGAATTAATAAAAAGGTATAGTAGTCTCTTTGAATTACTATTATGTCTAAGGAAACTAAATATATATATATAACTCACTCATTATGATTTCTTATATTTACGCGAACACTACACATTTAAATAATACGAATTTTTACGGATTTTATATCGGGAGACTGAGATGTTCAACGTCTAGATGTCATAGTTAACCGCGGTTACCATAGATTAAAATTATTACTATTTGTTCTGATCTATGCAGTATGAACTTATAGTATCTTGAAGTCTTGCAGTTGTATGCTTGGGTTGGGATTTAATTTTTATAATAATTAATTATAGGATCCCAAGCAGATGGTACCACCCAGCCATCTTCTCTATAGAAATTAGGATGTTTTTTTGATTTCAATAGCCTCGCGAATCATCCTTGGAAGGAATCGGTGTTCTTTAGCGAGGATTTGTGGTCTATAAAATCTGATGTAGTGACGGGGCGATCCTGTACGTGTTCCAGAAGCGTCGATTGTACGTATAAAATCGACGCTCCAAGAAGTCTGCAGTTAAACTCACTCATTTTTTTTCTAGATTGTCTCGCTTACGGAGTTAATGGCTGGTGTAAAGGCTCCCCCAAAAACGGTGCAGTTGTTCCAACTAACATGTTGGCCAATGGGCCATAAAGTACCTTCTTCCACCAACTCACTTGTAGAACTCATGAATATGGTAGAACGGTGGCGACAGCGTACTGACTATGGCCCGGTTTGTGTTGTGTCACCGTAAGTAACTTTTTGTTTTAAGATAGAATATTATGAGATCTCTAAATCATTGTATCAAAAAAATATGACAAAAATTGTTTAATAAGGGTTATTGCACTACTAAGGTATAAATGATTATTAATAACTCCTGAAAAAGAGTGATCGCTACCGTAATATTTATTTATACGTGGTAGTAGAGAGCCACGCTGCAACTTTATTTTTGGTTGTACCACGAATGGGTCGGCTCAACCGAGATACAACCACACTTTCATTAAATACCAACGTAAAATAGCAGGTCAATGCTGCTATGTTTCGTATGGTAACTGTAGAGAACTGGAGACCCTTTTTACTGGAAACGAGGCATTTTATCTTAGTCATCAGGGGTGATAACGCATCTGCGTTTTGAATAGTAATTGAGGAGACATATGTAGATGTCTATGGGCTACGACATTCACTTACCATTAGGTGAACTTTATGCTCATTTGTTACCCTTATACTATACAACACAAAACACATAATATTATGTTGTTAATGAAGAACGTATTATATTATAAATTTAAAAAGCAATTCCGCTGGTTTTCTTGCTGATTCCTCCCAGAACAGACGTTTCTTCCTGAATCAATCGTAAAATCACAAATAACTTTCTATTCTATTTATTACTTGTAATACAACAGGGATGGAAGAAGTCGCGCGGGTGTGTATTGCGCAGCGAATGCCTGTATCGAACAAGTGATCCAACACGGCGAAGTGGATGTGTTCCAAGCCGTCAAAACCGTACGACGTCATCGGCCACAACTTGTCGAAAACATGGTGAGCCATTAAGAATTTCTTAAAACTATAAATAATATATAAAAAATATATTTTTCGATAACAAATACTAACTAGTACATGTTAATGGTAGTGATCTATATTGTCCCTGAGGTGTTGTAAAAGGCGGCAGATGTAATTAAAAGATATTGAAAGGAGATGGGCAGCATCATCTCCCTGATACCACTCAAAATGGTAAAAAATTGCGGTTGCCAACCCGCCTGCCAGGTGTAGCAACTATGGCAAAATTCTCCCTATGAGGTAATGTATGTGGGAGACTCATGTTCAGCAGTGGTCATTTATAGACTGTAATAGATGGATGGACATGTGAATAATACACGGATATGTTATTTAAGTAATATATTATAGATAGATGGTAGAGTGAAAATGCTTATGATGGGAGTGGTTCGCGATAGATAGGGTAGGAGGACGACGTTGAGCTGGCGCTATATGCGGACGATAGCGCCTATTTCACCTCGTCCAGAAGAGCCCACATAGCCACTGCTAGGATGCAGCGTCTGCTGGACCTGTTGCCACCATGGCTGGACGAGTGGAGGATGGTCGTCAACGTTGGTAAGACGACCGCTCTGCTCACTCGCCGTCTCAGGAAATTTCCACCTCCGCTGACCCTCAATAGCCAGAAGATCGCGTATCAGAAGGCCGTAACCTACCTTGGGTGCAGGATCGACAGAACGCTGCGCATGACCGCGCACGTCGACTTCGTCGTCCGCAGAGCCCGATGTGCGCGGGCGACGCTCTTGCCGGTTCTGGCATCCAAGCTGCCGATTAAGACCAAGACTAGATAGTTTTACGTGGTAGAGCCATGCTGCAGCTATATTAATTGTACAGTTGTAGCACGAATGGGTCGGCTCTACCACGGAAGGACCACGCTCTCACATAATAGCAGCTTAATGCTACTGTGTTTCGTATGGTGAGTGTAGAGAACCGGAGACCCTTTTTACTGGTAAAGAGGCATTCCATCTTAGTACTCAAGGTTGACAACGCATCTCCATTTTGATTCGCAAACGAGGATATATGTAGATGTCTATGGGCCACAGCAACCACTTACCATCAGGTGGACTGTGTGCTCGCTTGTCACCATTTTCCTATAAAAAAAGTATTCGAAAGGCAGATTTATACTCACACATTTTGGTATCGCAGGTCATTTTGTTAATCATAGACATCTAAGGGGATACTTTACAATAGTTTTACTTTCTTTTTTCAGACCGAATACAAATACTGCTATGATCTCGTGCTACACTATGTGTTGCACTATTTAAACAAAGATATGAATGAAAAGAAGTGAGAGTGTGAACTTAAAGACGAACTCTGGTTCATCGAGTTTGGGCGCGGTGCAGCACTACCTACTACCCCTGAGGAATTAAGCCCTACAGCAGTTCCACGCGATAAGCGCCAACAGCGCCCCTTACGTCCTCGTCGTGGTTTGTCACTTGATCGACTTCTCCCTTCTGCCTCACGTCCACCGCTGCCACATGCTGCTACAGTTGAAGCTCCTCGTCGGCCACGTCGTGACAGACCACCGCTACGACGCTCTATACGCCTCGAAGACGAAGGAGCAGCTGAAGAACGTCGTCGCGTATTTGGTCATGGCCCTCGTGCCCCTTCCTTTGACGAAGGCGATGTAAGTGATCATGACGTAGAGTGTGAATGTCGTAGATCACTCGAGCGTTCGGGACCCTCCGCCGAAACGCAAGAAGATGAAGACGAATACGAACCAGAGTTTGTCACCTCCCCCCCAATTGAAACTTTACCTAAAGCTTATCCGCACATGCGTGGTGTTTCCTCGGACCGTGTACTTGACAGGAGGGATGGTGCACTTGGTCCCCGAGGGCCTGCACGAGCTCAATCACAAGGTATCTTCGAGCGCCGGTTGCCAAAAATATATAAACTAGGCTTGATGGATAAATCAAAGCGAGCAAGTTCCAGTGCACTTTATGAGCGTACCGATCAATCTCCTACTGAAGCGTTTTACAATGCTACCGGATCAACACGCCTAAGCTCACAGGAGCTTTTTGAGAAATTTTGTTCCGAAGACTTTACCTCACTTTACGGCCGAGAAGATGATCGACGTTACCGTCCACCGCATTCAAAATCAACAGGTAGTAGTGGCTCAGATGTACGACATGAGCGCACTTGTTGCAAACGAGTGCCATGTGGCTCTCAACCTGCACTTACTCGGCGTCAAATATACCATGCCCCTCGTTCTGATTTGTCAACCGACTCAGAAGAAACATCGCCACGACGAACTGGTTTACGTCCTCTACCACTTGAAAGTAGCACTCAGACATCAGAAGATTGTTCACGGTCTGCACCTCTTCTAAGTCCAGACAGGTTTGAACAGCGCTTCACATTTGATATATCAGAGAGAAGTGAAGTCACTTCTAATCGTGATGAAACTCCATCGGATGCTACTGAAACAAGAAATCTAACTCTATATGAAGAGCCTTATTCCGATCGCACAAGCTTATGTGAATTATATGATGCAGCTTTTACGTCCCATAGACCATCTTTTCGACGAGATGGGTCAAAACATCGTGTGGGGCCATTTGACTTAAGTGCCCTAGATTTTCGGCCAATTGATGATGAAAGCCCGCGGGTCAGTAGACGCACATCACAACGCAGCGTTGATGACACTTTTCGTCAAACCTCAGAATCACGTAGTTGGCCTTCAGAATCGGTTTTTGCAACGCCAGAACGACATGCTCCTGATACATCACCGTCTTCGACTGGTACGCGACGCTATCTGTCAGTTCAAGGTGATTCTCCTCGCGCGGATTCTGCTGCAGCTGACTCTACCCTTGCAGAAACGACAGTTGCCGAAGAACTACCTAGCGTAATAGAACGTTCTGAATACGCACTAGCTCTGAAACTTGGACGAATAGATTTAGACGAAACGCCAGCGCGGCCAGCGTCTACTCCCGCAGCTGATAGTGCAAGGCTATCTAGTAGACCGTCAATGCATAAGCTTGAACCCATAGAGCCCGAACGACTTTGCGGAGCTGGGGGCAGCGAAAGCGAAGCTGAAAGCACGCGTACAAATTTGCCAGTCGTAGCACCGAAACGAAGGCGCGGTGCAAGTGAACCACGCCGTTCAGCGCGATGTTTTCCACTCTGATGGCGCGCGGCGGCGCCGGGCACTCTGCCGCGCCACAGCCGCCGTCGCGCCTCCCACACCGTGCCTTCTCGCCACCGCGTGCGCGCGGTTGCGATTTTTAAACTACAATTTTTATTTCAAGAATTAGATATTCGTATGTTAGCTAGAGGGTCTACTGTAGGTATAGCTTAGCAGACCCCCTCTAACTCCTTAGAATGTGATTAAATCCTTTGTACACTATTGATAACCTTAGTCTTTGCCTGTTCACTAAACCGTAACTGCCAAATTTCTATGAATGATATAAAATTAATTAGTACTAATGGAATAAGTTAAATTGTAAAATAATCAGCATCGTTACGTAGGCAATGCCTATGAATATAACGTGCATAGAGCGTAGATTCTAAATATCGTAGATAGAAATAATTGATCTAAAGGCTCGCCGTGGATGCTTTGTTAGCAGTCCACGACTGACACAGGGTCAACATAAATATTTATAAAACAACTTTGCAATCACTTACAGTGAATTTTGTGTCGGTATTATAATAAAAAGAATAACATGTTATTTCTGGATATTTATCAATTTAATGAAGAAAATATTAAAGCGTAGTTAGCGTTATATTTATGTAAAATTTAGGATACCAAATTTTCAAATTATATTATAAACCGAAATTTTAAAATATATTATTGACTTTAATATTTGTCATTGTCATTTATTATATTAAAATAAATATAAAGATATAAATATAAAATAAAATAATAATTTGAGAGATTCCACTGAGTTCGCGTGGTTCTGTATTTGTATTTGAGTTTTTTTTTTTCTTGTTATTTAACTAGATGATTAGTGTTTGCCTGTAGCGTTTTATTTCTTGCAGTTGTAAAATTGATAAGATTTACAAAAATATATTTCTCATAATTTGTTTTAAAAATAAATATACTACTACTACTAAATATTTTACAAAAATATTTTATGTTAAGCGTTTTGTATAAAAAAGTTGTAACGTACATTTGCAAAGACAACGTTCTTATTTCTAGAAAAATTAGTTGTAAAACCACGAGACAAAGTAGAAAGTCTTATCTCGAAATGTACATGGAATGAATAGTTAGAGAGCTGGTGGCAGAAACTTTTAAATGATTTCATCTTCCAATATAGAAAAATTTAAGTCACCTAAATAATATAAACAATATTTTATTTTAGTGTTTGCGTATAAAAAGAGCATAAAAAGAGACACAAAAAGCCAAATGTGTATGAATTTTTTTAAGCCGGTCTAAATTTTTTTCTTTGCACAAGGATAAAATCAATATTACATATAATTATCAATTGGGATTGCCAACAGCTCCCTAACAATAAGGAAAAAATAAAATATTGTGCGTTTATATTTTTTAAAAGAGAATATTTTTAAGGGAATGGGATTGGGGTAGTTACTTAAAAGATAACATTTTCAGACAAAATACACCAAAATACACTGGATAGTCTCGAGGATTATTAAATGGCTTAGTACTTGAATGTTACTTACATTTAAAACAAAAATATTTATTTAATGTTTTGATGTTCGTTCGTGTTTGTGAAATCTAGATGTTGTTAGGTGTTTGTATTTAATCCCCACGCAACAGAATGCGCTAGTTTGAATAAAGACTTAATCTGTATGAATAACAGATACCTAAATTTTATACAAAAGTTCGGTGACAGGTCTTCTTTTTCTACCAAGGAGTTTATCCATGTTAATAACCTTCTACTTATCTGCCGCCAAACAGGCGTAAATCCGCTGTAGTGTTACGGTTCGAAGACTGTGAGGATAGTTCTCCGGTGTGAAGATGGATCTGCAGCGTTATATGTTCGAAGTTGGATACAGATATCAATGGGCTACACCAGCCACTAGGTCTGCAAAGTAACCAAGTAATTTACGGCGCCCGTCCACATATAAATATGCGTCGAAAGATAATTTTAAATTAAATGAATGGTTATCAAAACAAAATGAACATTTTGCAAATGAAGTCTCAGTGCCTCCTTTTTCTTTCGTATAACATAAGGAAACTTGTGAAGGGCATTACAACAATATGATACTATGCTTCATTGATACTTGATGATATACATTATACACCATAATCCATGTGTCTTACTTGTGAACAGCTGCTGTTTGTGGGTTAGGTCTGCTCAGATTTGCTATGCACTAATAAGATCGAAAAGTTAACGTCCTCTTCGTTTTTCAAGTATGTCAGGACTTTCTTGCGTTACCGTTTGGTTTATCATTTTATATGTAATATTAACCTTAAAAATGATGAAACAGACAATACCTGCGGAGTTTCTTTCATTGTTTCTTCTCCGGTCAAGGAGACCCCAATTCGAAATGGTAGATTTGGAGGAAAAATTACATTTGAGACACGAAAATTTTAATCTCAAGCGACGAATTAGTGACTATTTTATTACTTCTGTTACTTAAATGAATGTGCGTAGTGTGTAACGGAGCCTTAAGAACACCATGAAATCACCGAGAAAATTAAGGAATATGTTATAAAACATTTATTTAATTTAACATGCACTAAAGCATTCTTTAATTGTTGTATTTTTTACCAACCAAAATATTATCCTAATAACTCTGTTATTCATATTAACTAAGTATTAGATAGAATTATGTTCGTCATTAAATTATTTGTGATTATAAATCACGGTAAATTTAATATATAAAATTTATAAAAATTATTATGTACATATTATATTTTGTAAGAGTATTCCTTTGTACGTTTATGGACGTCACTCACCTATCAACTCAAAATCCACACCGCCTCGTCTCAAGTGGTTGTGTTTTCTTATTTTCCTTTTCATATATTTTCCTTTAACTCTGTATCAACATGGAAATAGGATTACCTTGCTCGCAAGCTTTCTGTGAATTAGACCACTCATCGACGACTTTCGACCTAACTTGCTTTGCGTGGACCGGTTAAAGGGTCTTGGAAAACGACGTGGTCAACCCTTTATACTCGCGCCTAATCTAAACGTACTCAGAAAACGTGTTATTATAAACCAGTAAGAATTATTTTTACTAATATAGATACATATGTTTGTAACAACAATTACTTAGCCAAGCGGCATTCCTTATCGACTGCATGTCATAATGCCTCTGTCTAGTCAACCATGAGTTGAAAAAGATTGAACGACAAGCGGCGAGGTGCGAGGTGGTTATAGTCAGATACCAGGTGAATAAGTGAGGGACGTCGTTTAAACTTTTTATAAATGTCATGTATTTAATTAATATTATATTATGTGCCAATAATTGTGAAAATATGTATATGCTCTTCCTTATTACTTAATGAACATTTTTGTTTTTTAATTACTACCTTCTTGGTAATTTTACGTTTAAATGTTTGTATAATAAAAACCTAAAGATCTCGAAACTTATGTTTACTTTACTAAAAAGTATAGCCATTAAAGAAATTATATTCGTAAAAATATCTCTAGATAGACTTAATACATTTTAAATGATTTATAACAAATTAATGATTCTTAACAAATTATTTTAAACATACACAAAAATGTCTTAATTGATATTGTTTTTAATAAATGCAGTTACAGTTTGAACTAATAATATAAAAACTTCTGACGAGGTAAATTTTATTTTACATCATTCAACAACAACCATATATGTAGCACAGCACGTCCTAAGTTTTTACATTACAGTATTTTAATTTAATTATTCTATTTGTATTCCTTTTAAATATTGATAAAATATCTAACTTACGTAAGACGGTATATACTTAAACCTATAAAAAACTGTCCAACTTTTATAGCGTAATCAATAGGAAAATATTGCACAGTTCGCGATATATTCGTTTTGTCGTCTAGGGCTCGCCTAAGACTACCAAACAATAAAGTTAATTAATACTTAATGCTCTTTGTTAAAACTTCTATTAATTGACATTTACTTTACATCTTATCATTATATTTACATCATTTAATATAACATTTTATGTAGGATAAAAAGTCACCCTGCAACAGACATGGTATGTTGATAATTTACAATAATAAACGAACCCTTGACGACATTATTTGAGCCCATAATTGCGACCACACTTTATGTATAATCGGATAAAGTTAAATTATTTTACCTGTTGTTTATAACTATTATTATTTCAAATGATAATTGTCGATTAAGTTTTTCAAATGTTATCAATTTGCTTTTATTGTACCTATGTAAAATATAATTTTATATATTACATATTAAATACTTGTCTAGTCATCCTTATAACGATGAATTTAAATAGAATATTATTATAATATAGCGTACCTTTGATTCAATCAAACAACAACGCACAACTTTGGTTCAGTTATAAAAGTATTTAATAGAATTTATTATATGTATACATACTATTTAATAGTTAAACGCCATAGTTTCAAGACTGGGTGAAAATGATGGGGGCACACGAGTAGGAAGTCCTTTAATAAAATTTAATTTACTGATGTATTCTTTTTTATCCTTTCTACTTTAATTCTTTTGTGTTTCAAATCAACCAAATTGCATCGTGAAAATAAGTAAACACTTGTAAAAACGCGATTGACATATTGGTTTTTCTTATTTAATTTTTATGAGTAATATTGCGTTAGACCTAAATAAAAGCGAACTTTGTTTTATAGGTTTTGTTTTATACAGGGTTATTTTGCAATAACCGGCCAAATTTGCAGAGAAGGTTCAGAAAAAGTAATATAGACAAATGGTGAAGAAAAATTAATTTAAAAAATCTTAAAAATTCTGTCCTTTTTATTTATTAAATTCAAAATGCTTGGTAATGCATTATTTTAACTGAAATTACTTCGCACGCACATAATCGTAAGGGTCAGTCGGTAGGCTAAAACTCTGTTGCGCATAAATCACATTTTTGGGATAATTTCAAATAAAAGTAAAAGCCTTATTGACTCGTATTTTCAAAAATTGAAATAACGGTATATCAATATTTATATATTTGTAGTAGCGAAGTTTTGAACTTAAGTTCCTCGCACTACAAATATATATAGTAGCGAACAAATATAT